ATTATTTGATTATTCATAGGCTAATAATTAAATTAATTATATATTAATTACTAATAAACATCAATTACATAACTTTTATTATCTGATGAAATATTTTTTAAATACCTATATCAATACATATGTTGTTATCTATATTTATGTATTACTTGGAAATAATAAGAAATAAAGATCCTGGTGTTAAAATTATAAATACAGTTTATTTTTACTAGTTTAATATGTACCAGTTTTAATAAATTTTGATGTATAAAAAATTGAGACTTAAATGTAAATTACTGTTTGGTTTATCTACTAATACAGTTTACAGTTTTTTTTTTTAGTTATAATGATTGACCTAAAATAAATATATTATTTATATTAAGTTTTATTAAATTTTGAATATAAATAATTCTGAATACTGAAATATATTAACTTATTGTATAATATTATTGCTTTATTTAATAGTAAATAATAAATTATTTCATAACTTGTTAGTAAAATTAATAGCAGTTGTATATTGTTTAGGTGACTTAGAAATAATGAAAACTTTTATGATTAATTGTCCAAATAATTATGACCATAGCTTAAAAAAATTACCGTCCAACAAAAAAATTCTCAATAGGCATATTACCTATGAATGTGATGTGGAACCATAATTTCAATGTTATTTTTTTCAAAAACAATTCAGTCAAAAAATCAGTTATTAAAACATATTGTTTGCTTATTCATAAAATAATAATTAAATAAATTATAATATACTAATTTTTAATGACCATAAACTTTTAACTATTATTGCCTAATCAATTATTATTATTATTATTATTATTATTATTATTATTATTTATTTATTTTTAAAGTACCTATATCTATTTATATTTATATATTATTTGGAAATGATAAAAAATATAGACCCTTGTGTGAAACTACAAAATAAATACAGTTTTATATACACCAATCAATTTTGATTTATGACAAATTGGGACTTAATTATAAATTATTACTGTTTCATTAAATTACTACTATAATCTACAATTATTTTAATTTACCTTAAGTACATATAGTTTATATTTAGTTATAGTACATTGAATAATTGTATTAATTTATTTAATTATAAATTGTAGAACATTTTCAAACTTTTGTAGAATTAATAGTAGTTATATATTTTATAGGTGATCAAGAAATAGTGCAAACTTATAAGATGCATTTCTCAAAAGATTTTGGACAATACTATATAAGAGCTTACAGAAAACAAAATCTCAAGAAGTATTTATTATTTGAATGTGAAGTGGAAACACAATTTCAATGGAATATTTGTCAAAGATAATCTTGTCTTAAATCTTCTATGAATACATGCCTTCTAATTATTAATGAATGTTGTCCTTAATTTTATTAATTCATAATCATGAAAAAAAAAAGTTTTGCATTTTGTTATACCAATTTAATAATAATAAAATCACATATATATATATATATAAATTTATTTGTACTTAATTATAAATGTATGTATTAATTGGAAATGGTCTTGATAGTTGATTAAAGATGCTTATATGATTCAGTCTTATACCTCTTTTTTATATTTGTTCATGCATTATAACACGCTAAAAATTTAATAGTAAATGTGTGCTTGATATGTTGCAAATATATTTAAATTTAAGAACCCACACATCATACTTATTATTATTGTTTTCTTTTACTTTTAGTAATCCATTCTGGTACAATGATATATTTTGATGAACAACAAGAGCATTTCCCAAGCGTAGTTGATAGAAACGAAAAAGGAAGAAAAAAACTTCGAAGATGCCAATTATGTGCATTGTCTGGACGAGGTCGGAAACGAACACATGTATTTTGTGCAGCATGTCCTGGGCAACCCGGTCTCTGTGTTGATACGTGTTTTAAGGAATATCACAAATAATAGTGTATTATATAATAAATTAATGACCATTTCATATTGTATTCCAATTATTTATATTTTTTTTTTTTTTTTGAAACCACAGCATATAAAAAATAAATGCTTTTAGGTTATTTAATATTGTATTTTTTTAAGTGTTCTGTTATGACATAGAATATAAATCTAGTTTATTTTTTACAGGAAACACAGATTATTAGTTTTTATAAAAACTTTTATTTTTAACATTCCATATAACTTTATATATATATATACAGACTTGCATATTATGTATGATTTATTAATAATTATAATAATGAATAAACAAATATTTAATGTTTTATATTATTATTTTTCACTATCTATGTAAGGTATGCATATATTTTATTTTTATTAGTTATATCAAGTAATTTACTTATTTACATTCACTACATTTTACTAGGACTGTGTTTTTTTTTTTATATCTTACAATAATTCAAATAATAATAATTATTTCAAATTTATTTAGTCAATTATGATTTCATATTTTAGTTATTGAAAATTTTGATTATTATTTATATTTTATTCTTAAATATTAAAAAAAAAAAAAAAAAAAAAAAAAAACAGTTAAAATATTCTATTTACCTTACCTATTTGTTATTATTTTGTTTTGATTCAGTTTAATTGTTTCTGCATAACTTTAATTGAAATAACATTGTGTCCAACCCATCCAAAAGTATTTTAATTTTCACACGCTTCAACGAAATCTAAAAAGCTTTTACCAATTATTGTTTTATTTTTGTAACGATGGGTCGTATTTATGTACTTTTAATGCTTTTTTTATACCCTCTACATTAAGGTAAATTAAATAGGAAATGGTTGTACATAATTTTGCTTTCAATATTTGGTATAAACATTCTTTTTCTAACTTTTTTTTTTCTTCTAGTGAAACGTCTTGCAATTTTAGATGTGACTCATAGATCAACTAACTTCAACTTACATTATCCACGCATAGTGGAAAAAAACCAAAAAGGTCAAAAAAAACGACGCCGTTGTATTTTGTGTTCATCACGAGGTCTAGGACAAAAGCGTACTGATGTGTTTTGTTCCGTTTGCCCCGGAAAACCCGCATTGTGTCCTGGAACTTGTTTTATAACTTATCATGCAACCAAACTTGAAGTTTAAATCATTCATCAATCAACCTTGTTTAAAATTACAAATGTTTATAAAATTCTTGTCAAAATATATTCCAAGAAAATAATATTATATAAATTATAATTTTTAAAAATATTTTATTGTTTTAATATCTACCTATAAGTGTAGATGGACTTTGTATTATTAGAAAAACTTATTATGCAAATCAAACATTAATTCCCATTTATGTAGGCTTCTGCTATGATGAGTAGTAGACAAGAAAAGGGTGTCTATAGATATGTAGATACAATAAACTCATAGTTTTGTAAGTTTTGTTATCGTTTAAAATTAGTATAAAATTCTTATTTACTAAATAATATGATTTTGAGCGAAATTAAAACTTATTAACATTTAAGATAATACTTAATTTCTTTGTCATATTGTTATTTGATTAAAAATCATTCAGGTTAAATATTTTGTAATTTATTCTAGCAGCTTTTCCATTCTTAAATGACTATAGTGTATAAAATGATCTTTATTTTTTAGCTATATTGTATTAAATTTATTTTAATGAATATTAAATGTTATCAAATATCAACCAACAAAATTAATAAGTACCCGATAACTCAATTTTATATGTTTATTGTATGTTTATATTTAAGTATTCTATACAGTGCTTAATCTTCCTTGTATTAACCTTTATACTACATAAAATTTTGATACCTAATGTAGTTTTCTAGATTCGCCCTGTACAATTATACTTATTTTATTTTTACACTATACTTACATATACCCAAATTATAATTTTTTTTTTTAGCTAGAGACTTTCCTGATCCAATATATTGTCCAAACCAATGTGGTCGCTGCTACAAAGGTATAGGAAGAAAAGGAAATCTTAACAGACACATCAATTACGAATGTGGTGTACCAAAACAATTTGAATGTATTTATTGTTCGAAACGCTTTGCACAAAAATATGATATTAAGAGACATCAAATGTTGGTTCATAAAGTCATTGAAAAGTATTAAGTTTACTTGATGACAGTTATGTATAATATTATATAACTTTGAGCGTTTGCGATTATTTATTTTTATTAGATCAAAAATGACTAACCTGTGGAAGCTATATATGACTATAATATGAGCGTTTGAAACATTCTTGGCTTATTTATCAAATTGCTTATTTTTATATTTTTTAAATACAAAATCATGTACTACACAGTTTTTTGTTATTGACACTGCTGTTCCAATCCATAGGCAGAAATTGGGGGAGCTTAGCCCCCCAAAATAATTGAACATTTTTCAAAGTATTAAATATAGGTATCTACTTACTTTACAGCAATGCAAAGATTTAAACTTCCCCCCACCCCTAAAATCTAAAATTCAATCAAATATTCGCCTATGGCCGTATCCCTAGTGCTCTTATAAACATTATATCTACTTAATTGAAGAAAAAAAATACAAAAAACTTCAAACATGTTTTTAACATTGTTGTGTCCATTGTGATATTTATAGTTAAACATAAAAGTATTCATAATAGTTTTTTTTTTTTATTTTATCATTTACATGTTACATGATATGCCTAATGCCTATTACCTACTTACGAAATACCCAACCATAGATTACATTGAAAAGGGATTCCCTGTAACCTGTAGGGCTATAAACCAATTCCTAAAGAGGATTGCATGTGGTAAACTTGATACGATCTTAAACAAGGTGCACAGAACTAAAATAGCTTAAGCAATAAAACTTGAAAAACGTATTTAATATTTATTGGAATTTGACGTTTGGGAAGTGGCGCTGTGGAACATGAAATCTCTAGAAATAGTTATGTTAACTGTCAATGCCAAAACGGCAAAACAAATTAAGTGTTGCCATCTACCGGACATTTTTTTTCTTTAAAGTATTAAGCCAGTTTTTTTTCAAAATTATCAATGAATAACAATGGTACATTGGTACTCACAAGTCACAATGGTATTAAATGAAAATTATCACGTCTTGAAATTTAATTTAGTTGTTTTGCTTATTAATCGGTTATATTTTTTTAACTGTATGCATTATTCCGTCAACAATTATACTATATTTTCGCGTTAAATATTACGTTCTGAAAGTATTACCTATATCATGGTTTAGACTGAAAATTTCAGTTCAACGGTGCAAACACTGCAAACACGCGACGTTGATAAAATACGATGTGGACTGAAAATTCTTAATGCTACTTCTGACAAACTCGACCATAGAATAGATTAAATTTTAAATTTATTTTTTAATCTGTTTTGTGATACATGTTGCCTGAATTTTATCAAACAAACCGTTATTCTGATTATGCACATCGCGTATGTGTGATAATAGACAATTAATAATAAAATCGTGCGGAAGTGCAGTGCCGACGGACGATATTTGGTCAGACTAACATAGTAGAATCTAAAGTCTTGTATTTTTTACTCATCTAGTCCAACGAAATGCTTCACCCGTGTTTCCTGAGGGCGGCGTGTCAAGGTAAGACGCACTAAAGTTAGGTACCATGCTTTAGTGAGATTTACAAGTATTTAAATACAATTTATACAAAACATTATTCGCAGACTCCTTGTATGAATACACAACTTTATTCATACGACCGTTAGTTTCATAATAGGTACGGCACTTTATATATAATTATTATTTAGAACGATGACAGGTCTATTTTGTACTTATATACTTATTTAGGTAATAAATGACATTTTCTAAATTCCAGTAACAGTTCCTGATTTGCTAGGCTCGAGAAAAAAATACTTGTAACACCTTTCAGCTATTAAATCTACCTATTATAGAACATCGATAATTATCATCACAAATAGTGAGATAGGTGCTTAGCTAATTACATATTAAAATTAAGGTTTTAAAGACTTAAATAATATTATTTTTTCAATTACCTACTCATCTTTATTTCATCAATCGTCACTTATTTATTTTTATTTATACAAATTTGCTTTAACTTGGTCTGCACGACAATTTATTTGAAAACAATATTGAAATATTTAAATTTTCGATATTATCACGCCACTTGCACATTTTGACATTTTGTTTTTTAATTTTTTAATTTCAACGAGTCTTATGATAATGGAATTGTAGTTTTACAGCCGAACTTGATATCAGTGTGACAGTGTGCGGTTTAAAATCCCTACATACCAGGGGCGGACTGGGCCAGTGTACTACTTTGCATTTGCATAGTAGACGGTGTCATATTATATCCATCGGGCCGATACAAAATAACCCAACGTGTACTAATTATACTAAAAATATTTTTTATAATCTGATATTATTAATTGTAAATTGTAATTTGTAATTACTCTTGTAACTTAAAAGTTATAATTAGAGAGCGGATTTTTAGATTTTTACATATTTTTATTAGTTTTATGCAGCTTTATGATAGTGAAAAATGTAGACGATTTATCCATCACAGAATTCGTAGGAAAAAATTTATTTAGCATATTAAAGCATATTTAGCCTATTTTTCATATTTTAGAATATATTCTATTATTGTTCATAAAAAATCATATTACACATTATTAATTTATCGATTTGTGATATTTTCCAGCAACAATTTTTTTTAGGAAAAAAATTATTTTATATAAGAATGATAAAAATTAAAAATCATTCAATTATATATTTGTTTGTATGTAATCAAATTGCTAATGTTGGTCATTCTGTTACTCTTAATCCATGATTGTACTTACGATCCTATAACGTAATAAGAATGATTCCTAATAATAAATCTATTTTATTTTTACTTTTATATTGTTTATTATTTTAACTTTAATGTCTGACGATTTAGTTAAATTTGTAATATTCATTTTTATTTTTTAAAATGCCGAAAATTAACAAAAGTTTAAAATATTCATATACCTATGAACTGTTTTGTATTTTTTATAATTAAATATTCTATATGTTACCAAAAAGGAATGGTACATAAGTTATTTATTGTTTTTATTGAATTATTTTGGAAAAAAACAAATCATATTATTTGCATATTTACAAGTTTAAGGAATATTTAGAGAATATTTTAGGGTTTTTTTAAAACATATTAGCATCATATTTTAAGCTTTTAAGAACATATAAATCCGCTCTTTAGTTATAACTTATAAGTGATATTAAGATTCAATTTTATACAAGTTTGGTTCCTTGCGTATTATGTAATATGCTAGTCTATTTATTATATATATCACTGTACTTACTATCAGCGATTGACCACCATCGGAGAATACATATTATTCCTAAATTAGTTATTACAATATTAAGTCTATAATAGCTATGATACTATAGTAATATAGTATAAATGCGCACGATACGCATTGCTTTGTTATTCCAGTAATTCTGATTTTTGTGATGTCATCTGGTACCTAACCTCGTGTATGAAATAATTTGTTAATTTGTTGACAAGTAGATATTTTATTTTTTTATGTAATTAATATTTATATTCATATTATTAAACAGTGATTTAAAAAATAAAAATTATTTATAATAATTTAAAATATAAATTCTTATTATAAATTATTTTTGGATACATTAGTAAAAAGAAAAAAATTTAATTTTACAATATATATGTATACATATTACATTTTAAGGAGAATCAAACTTAAATCACTATGTATTCAAAAATATAAATTTATTTAATTTAATCAATAATTCGAAAACTAAAAAAAATTGATAAGGTAAAATGTTTTTGACAAAAATTTTTTGTACACTAGGTGTGATTATGCAATACTCTAGAGACCAATTTTTTTTTTGCAGAACAGTGAGCTGATTGGATCCAAGTCTGCTCCTACTACATACTGTGATATTGTGAAATGTTTTGTACTCATTTCAGTTCTATTGATTGAATATGTACCTAATTTAGGTTATTTTAATATATATATTTTTATAATCCTAAATAAATTTTACAATATTTAAGTCTTAAGTTTTGATAAAATAATGAAGTTAATTAATATCATTAATAAATAATGATAAAGTTTTGAATAAATAATGAAATTAATTTGTATAATAAAATAACCGATCACTGCGGGGTAATCGGTATGTATTTGAGTCCTAAAAGAAGGTGCTTATAAATTATAATAATTATTGGTTGTATTTAATCAATGTAATAAAAAATAATAAATCATTTGGAATTTGATTAGTAATAATTACGATACATTAATATTTGCTTCATTGATATAAATTCTACATAATACTTTTCGTGCGTGCAATAGCTTTATTATTATTAGTTATTACGATCTTGTATATGATACCATTAACAGCAGTGTTTGACGCGCGTATGTAAAAATAGAAAATCATGAACCCAAAAGACTATTAATTCAATTGATGAATTCTGATTATGCTTTCGTTCTAAGTAATTTGAAATACCTACTAAGAACAAATTATTATATCTATGTGATCATCCACAAAACTGTCCGACAAACAATATTTAGTTATTTTGGATCTCAGTTGACAAGTAAAATGACATTGTTTATCTTAAAATAATTTATAATATGCTACTATTTATTATGGTGGATAAACGATTCATACATCTATTAAATATGAAATTATGTAAAAGCATTATGTTACATGCTATTATTATTAAAGAGAAAAAATACTTACAAACAATTTATAAAAATGTATAAAGAAAAGGTTGTTATAAGAAAATATTATTACTATTAAGATGTATTAATAATTACGTCATAATTACTAATTAAAAGTCGTATAACGTTGCTTTCATATCATTAAGAAAATTATCAATAATTGAATCCTCTGAATTTTGTTAGATGCATAGTTCTCCACTATTTTTGCAACCACCTTTCAAGAAAAATATTCTATTATTGATATGCATAGAACATTTTTGTTTCGTAAATCGTAATACACCATAAACATTCAATGTATTTTTAAAGTACTTTTATATAATTGAGAAACACTAAGAAAACCGGGGAATTTTTATGCAAATCAAATTTTCGATAAATATCATTTTGTTTTTGATGTAACTCGAAAACCAACAACCGTAGAAAATACTTGAAATTTTCACTAAATGTTAATCTTATTTTATTTATAAAATACAATTTTCAAAACTTTTTAACTCTTGTATATATTTTTAGGCATAACAATTTTTTATTTTTTCCATGAATACCTAAATAAAAATTATTCATTAGATCAAAATGTTTGAGACTTAAATACGAAACCCCATATTAGTTGATCTTATGTCTGTATAGAAATGTTAAAAATACATAGCACAAATTTTCTTATTTAATGAAAAATATTTGCATTAAATGTATTTGAAGTTAAAATTATGACAGAAATCGTAAAAATTTTCAAATTATTTTAAACTTTTCGTTTTGTATCTAAATTTTAAAAATTTAATACAACGTTTTCCTAAGTAGTTCATATTGAAATCATAAAATCTAAAAAATGTTAAGACAATTATTTTGTTATAAGCATTTTTATTTTCAATTTGGACGAAATTACACATTTAAACGATAAATAACGTTAACTTAATTATTATAATTTAAATCTATTAATTATCTAAATAGTATTATTATTAATTTATTTTTACTGTTTTACGGTAAGTATTTACAAAAAAAAAAAATGGTATTTAACATTGAGTTTTCTAAGTTGAAATAATATAGTAAAATGATATATTATTACAATAATGAAATACTAATAATAAAATAAATGCAATAGTTTCGGAAAAAATTTACCAACCTACTGTTATTTTCAAAGTAAAATTAATGACCAATAGACTAATGATTTACGTATATGTTATCAAAGAAAAACAAATATGAAAAATAGTAATACGAGTATAGAATGTTAAACCATTTCAAATCGTTTTTCGTATAATATTATTTATTGTTCTTATTCAATAAAAAAATAAAAAATAAGAATTTTAAATTTGAATTTAACATACTCATTGTGAATTATTTAACACTTAATGTACAATGGAGCAGTTCCACTTACCTACCTTTTTTGGTTTAGTCAGCGAATATAGCATGCATGTTCGACGTTTGTACATCACCATAAACATGCATATTATTATTTTATTATTATTTTAGTCATTTGTATCCTATACCTGTGATCTTACTAGACATAGATTACAAATCCGAAAATAATATGATTTTTGTTCATAAACATACTTAGTACTTAACGCTTTAAACATAATTATGCTTTACGCCTTTACTACCAATAGGTAATATAATAAATTATTATTCAAATGTAATATAAAATTTAAATTTATAGCAATGTATGATATTTTAGTTGAATCAATTACAATTATTATTGTACTTATTATTTGTCTTCCATATAGTTTCTCCCTATTATATTCCATAGTAAATAATGTATACTTGATAAAAAAATTAACTTAAAAAAATCAATGAACAAACCTGTGATAATATTAAAATGACTCCTTATTGTCCAAATGTATTTATAGCATCGTATTAGTCAACACAATTACACGAGCATATTATTTAATATCTACTTTCATGTAATTTTGATTGATATACGTGTTATATTTATCATAATTCATATTATACTTTCTTTTTCTTAGATACACTATGTGAAATTATTAATTATGTATTTTATATATTAATATAACATACAATATGAATTAATCAAACATATTCAACCCCAAATTTTTCTTTAATTATATATTTATTCAAATACTGAAATTTTTTAAAATTTAAATGTATCTTTTAATAATACCAGCTTATTTTTTAAATCAATAAGCAAATAACTTTTTGAAAATGTGTATGAAAATTGAAATGAATACTTTTTGAGTTATTTAACTTGATATGTTTTGGAGTAAGGATAATAAATTTTGAATATATGTATAGTGGCTATGATGATTTTAAAATTATAGTAAAATTGTATTATTCATATATTAGTTATATTTCATAATCTGTAAAGATTATCTAAATACCCATAAATACTATAATAAATATCATATTTAAAAACCAATTCCAAAAATTATTATTCTTAATAAAGAATAATGTAATATTTAGTACTTCAGAAGCTACTCATTTGGTTTCAAATTAATATTTATATCAACCTTTCAAAAATATCTGCTTAACAACTTACAAGAATAAAAATATGATTCTCGTTTAAAATAAATAAGTAGGTTTTGTCATAGGATACTACTTAACTAATGTAAAAATCAGTTTAAAAATGTGATCCTTAAATTAACTTAAGGATTCCTAAATCATAATTTTAATAAATTCATTATTAAAGAAAAAATGAGAGTAAGCATGCTTGGTAAATCATACTATATAACTACGTAAACTAATATTAATTTTTAAATTATTTTTATTTCTAATTAGTGATTATTAATACTATAATATTCATAATATTAAATTTATTATTTAAGAATTATTGAGAATATTAAATATTATTTTTTTCAGAATACATAGATTTTTCATTAGATCCAACTGAATGTCCAAATATGTGTGGCAGATCGTATAAAGGCAAATTTCGAAAATCTAGTCTCAGAAGACATCTTATTTATGAATGTGGAGTTGATCCTCAATTTAAGTGTCCTGTTTGTCAAAAAATATTTACTGATAAAAGCAGTATGAAGAGGCATGCAGTGACCATTCATTTTAATAATAAGAATTAATATTAAATCTATAATTTAAGATAAACTGAAGTTTTCAACAAGTATATAAGTACCTATATTAAATTTTTTAGCTAATGCACTTTTTGGTAAAAAATATTGAATAGTATTACTTTAAAAAAAAAAAAAATTCTAAAAATGTATTGAATATTTTTTATAAAATATAGGTTTATATGATTCATTTTTTATTAAATTGTTTCTTATTCTATATTGATTTAATTTTAAACATATAATTTGATTCTGGTTAGTTTCATAATTATTACATTCATAGATTGTTAACAGTTTTTAGTTGTTTTAAAAAGCTGTTAACAATACAAAAAAATTATAAATAATTTAAAAATGAATGTTTTATATGTTTAAAGTTTTACTTTCTAATTGTTGATATTTTTTCAAAAATGTTTTAGTATTGTACAATTTTTTCAATGTTTAGACGTAAATAATAAAATAAAATATTGATAAATTGAATTAAATTAAATAAATTTTTATTTTTTTTTTTCCAGAATGAAATAGTTAAGGTGACTAACATATAATTTAAATATTAGCTGAAATACCAAGCAAATTCTGATAAACCTTTAGTCTTTTAGCATTCTATTTACTTGCTATATTCTGTAATATTATATTAGTATTCAGTATAATATTACAGTATTTACAAAAATATGTATTTTATTATTTTTGTAACTATTGACATAATTTGTGGTACAGATATATGTATGTATTTAATATTTCTTATATTTGCTGAAAATTAAAATTAAATATTATGTTAGTATATTGTATCTAATTTATCAATTAAAATTTCAGAACATATGTTACCAGATCCTCTATACTGTCAGAACAATTGTGGTCGATATTATGCTGGCAAAAAACGTAAATCAAGTTTAAAGAGACACATAACATATGAATGTAGTATTGATCCTCAGTTCAAATGCATATATTGTCCAAGGCGTTTTACAATTAAAGCAAATATGAAAAGACATGTTTTTTTAATCTATAAATAATTGAATACGTTTAAATATTTGATATACTAAAAACATTTTATACAAAAATATAAATAAAAATAAATTTATGTTATTCATGTTTTGATTTGTAAAGTTTTAAATTCAAAACCATATTTTAATTTAGAAAGAATTGTATTTAGATTTATTTAAACTATTTAAAAAATACATGATTAAAATATTACATATGTATTATTTTAATTATAAATAATTTTAAGTTTGTCATTAATATATTATAATTAATTAATTGTTATTTTTTACCATTTATTAAATTTTTTATTTACTTCGATTAATTAATTATATTTTAATTATTAAATAGTACATGGATAGTCCAATTTTTGATGCTAAAATGTAGAAGTTATCTTCATGTAGTGAACCTAAAAATATCTATAAAAGTTGCATTGTTTTTATTATTGTATTAAAATATTTATTTGTCCTTAAAATGAGACTATTATTCAAAAAATTAGAAATATATTTTTAGAATAAACTAAAAGTAGTACAAATGTATACAGTAGAATCTGCTTAATGGGGGACTTATCATTCGAGTCTCAAACAAATGTATTTATTTTGGACAATATAAATTCGTTTATTGGGGGCAAACCATCGATTATAAGGAATATAATTTAATAATTTATATGTCTTTATCATATTTTATATAATAATCTTATGTTATTAATAATAACAACTACCTTCTGTATTTTACTTCTTTAATAATTTCTTTATCTCCTACTATCGCATGTTTGTGAAAATAATTGAGTTGACTAGCCTGCGTACAAAATTACCTACTTTTTCAGTCTTTCAGATCTATGTATGTGTGTTCTGTTTTATTAATTCTAGTTTATGTTAACAAGTAGCTATAATATGTCTCATAAACATTTAACGTTGATTGAAAAAAATTCTGCTCTGAATAAAAGCTGAACTTCAAAATACTAATATCTGTGAATTAGAGAAATTAATAGGCATATCTAAATCAAAAAATCTTGTAAATAAAGTTACCTATTATGTTTATGTACTCTAATAGTTAAACAGTCGGATAATTAGGACAGATGGATCACTGCCCTATATGTCCCCATTAAATGGATTTTACTGTATTAAATTGTATGAAACTTTTAATATTTTTTTGTATACATTTTGTATTATATTAATCTGCAATATATTATGAAATTTAAAGGGAAAATGTTTTATCTTTTAAACTTTAAATTTGAGGTTAATTTAATTATCTTTAATATATTGTACAAAAAAAAGTTAAAAAACATTTTGAAATTGTTACATTATTAGATTTTGTAATTTTGTATGAATGTCCCACTTTATTTATTTATTTGCTAATAATAAACTTAATCACATAGTCATAGTATAATAAACGTGTGACTTAAAAAAACTATTTAAACCAATATTTATTATTGCATTTATCGGTGTTTTCTTTAATTATTTGATTAAATATAGCAACTTATTAAAAAATTGAATGGTATTAATAAGTTCTGATGGTTTTACATTTTTCCTTAACTACTAGGGTTCGGATTTTAAAACAAATTAAAATGTATTATGAATAGAATTGTTACAAATAAATTTACTTAATTTTCTATTTAAGATAAAAAAAAATTAAATTTTGCTTTTTTCTCTTTATAAATGTTATTTATTATTGCTTTATTCATGTTTTTAAGGGCTTTTTTTATGTTTATTATTGCCTCAAAATCTGAACCCTATTTATATGAATTAATTATAATATTATATTTGATTTTTTGTATTTAGTCTATATTAAAATATAATTTATGTAATTATTAATACCTAGACTAATTATTTAAACACTTAACTATTTTTTACAGATTTCTATGCTGATCAAAGATTTAAATGCCCAAATGAATGTGGTAAATCGTACAAGAATAAATACACACTTAAGCGGCATATATTTTATGAATGTGGCGGTAAAAAAACATTTTCTTGTAACCTGTGCAATAAAAAATTTTCACAGAACACTAACCTGAAGTCACACTTAGCATTAATACATCAAATTATAACTTAATTGTTATTTTAAAAATATATTTTATTTAAAAAAAAATGTAAGCATACTGTTTATTGTTCTCTAGACCACACACAACGCAACAAAGATCAAATACATTCACATAAATTAATAACTTTTGGTTTTTATTTATCTTAGAACTAAATCACCTATTAAAAAAATTGTAGAGAAAAATAACTATTCATTCATTAAAATATTGTCTATCTAATATTGAATATCTATTAAAATGTACAAACAATTATTTTATTTTTAATGTTAAATATTAAGTTAAATAATAATAAAACAAAACTAATATGTTTAACCCACAAAAATATCTTTTACATTGTTTGTAATAGATAATTTAACTCTGAAATTACTCAAGAATACTTATAAATATTTAACTAAAATAAAAGCTACAGTGATAAGTTAGTTTTTATTCTTTAAATTAGTATGTGTATTTATTGAACTTGCAATTGAATTATTCATCTATTATGTTAAAACAAACTGGTCTTAATTTTCTCATACATTATTGCAGTATTACATTCAATAAAATTTATTTATTAAACTTATTATACTTAATTAATAGGGTTTATTAAAATACATAATTGGATAAATTACTAATAATTAGATAGTTTTTTTGAGTTTTGTTATTGATTTACTTTTAGTTATAAAATACATATTATACTATCATTTTACTCAACAAACTTGAGTATCTCTTAATTGATTATATATTGTTATCTATTTATAAATAAATATAATGTGTATATTTCTCTAAATGGCTGTGAGTTATATTGCTGCAAAAAATTATTTTAATTAATAATAACAAAACAAAAAAATAAATAAAATATGTAGAATTAAATAAATATTTTATTGAAAAATATAAGTGCATGGTAGTAGTACATTATTAGTTAAATTACTTGATTTTTTTTACTTAATGACTCACATAAATGGACCTAAATACTTGAGTTTCAAATTGAGTCAAAAAAATGGGGGCCAGTACTTGTAAATTATATTTATATTTTCCAAAATACCTGATAAGATATGTCTTATGTATTTTATGTGCTCTAGGAAATGGCATCATCTTATCAACTCTTAGTAATATGTATGTATAATGTTTATTGTATACATTTTATAAATATTATATCTAATTATTTAATCATATAATATTAGTTTAATTTACTTTAATTCAAATTATGGTTTTTCTTTAAATGCAGCAATTACATAAATAATATCATTATTGCTAATTGCATAAAATATTACAAACATTTTTATCTTTAAGTTTAATTAATAACTTGAAGAATAATTTTTTTGTAATCTTCACTTACAGCAAAGGTATGATAAAAACAAAAATGAGAGTAAAATTATAACAGCAAAATCTATGCATAACAGACAGTCGTGAGATTATCAAAAATATCTATTAAAGATACCTTTAGTATTTTTATTTTTTTTTTTTTTTTGTCAAACACGCTTATGTATCTATTATATTTTTATGAAAACAATAAAGCTGATAGTAAATAATTATATTTAAAGGTACACACATTATTTAACATACATCATACATAATTTTAAATGTACTCAATTAAAGTTATCATGTGCTTTGTTGTAGTATATTTTGTATAAGTATTTGTATACAAATATGTTTAAGTTTAAACTAAAATTGTTGCCTTATACCAAGATATTGAGTAGAATTATTGCTATCCATATCTATTATAGATAGGTTGAAATATATTAGAATATCTATCTTTTATCAGGACGTAGTTACTTAGTCAATTGAGAGTGTCAATAAAATTAGATTTCACTGTACTATGATAATTTATCAAGTAGAAATGATTTATAACAATGCAAATACAATTCTAAATAATATGTAAAATTGTGGCATTGTATATTAGTAAAAACTATTCAAAACATTTAAAATCTATGTATTATAGTATTTATAGTATGAATATATAACCTAAGTTTAATTCAAATTTTGATTTCAGGATATAATTATGATCAATCAAAGAAAACTCGTTACTTTTGTCCTAACAATTGTGGTAAAAGTTATAAATTTTCTAACACTTTAAACAGACATGTGAAATATGAATGTGGAGATTTGCGGAGATTCAATTGTCTATACTGTTCAAAGGCTTTTAAACAAAAAACAGCTATGCAAGCGCATGCAGCTTCCATTCATAAATGCCTCATTAAATAAATAAATATAAAAATATAATATATATTTAACTAAATGTTATCAATGCATATGCAATACTGTAATAATTATGTATTTTGTTTATTCGTATATTTCTAGAATTTAATGTTAAAATTTTGATCAGATTAAACTAAAAAATACCTATTAATATAGGTATACAAGCCGCACTAAAATTTTGAAAATAATTTTATTGTATTACGATGTCTAAAAAAATATTGTAATAATAATGATAAAAAAAATATAATATTATTAGAAAATATATTATTCTATAATTGAGTTAAACTGGTTAATATTAAATCAGCTGATTATGTAACCACTAATTTGTGCTTTATGGAAAACCTAGCTTCTATGATTTTTAAAATTACTTTTAAGATGAATAAGTTATTTGTATTGTAAACCTATATTATGAATTAAAATTAATACTACTTAAAGTAAATAATTGTGAATGGATAATATTTTATTATTAAAAATCGATAAAATCTTCGGTTTGAAATTATTTATTTTATAACATTCTATATAAATATATAATAGTTATTTTAAATTATTAACAATTTAAGTATTAATCAATAAAACTTATTGTTATTTTAATTGTGTTGTTATAGGTATTAAGAAGAAATCTGATTGCTAAGTATTAAATAAGTATTTTAATCAAAATGACTATCAATCTCAAGTTGCTATAACTGTTTTAAAATTATTTTACAGTGTTTTGATTTATTGGTTTTAATATTTTTTGAACCTTAAATATATTTATTATACCATATTGTACCCTATCAATAGTCACTATTTATAAAGTGATAAAATAAAGTTCCTAGTGTAAAAGTATTAACATATTTTTTTTTTTCAGGAGTGAATCAATTTTATTATTGTCCTTCCATATCATGCAACCGTATTTATAAATTGAAGACAAGCTTAAATAAACATATAAAATATGAATGTGGAGGTAAAAAACAATTCCATTGTCATATATGTTATAAAAATTTTGCACAAAAAATCCATTTGAAAAATCATTTAGTTATAATCCATAAATCTATTGCATTTAATTGAATATATATTTTATCAGAAAACAAATATATTTTTATGTTTACAACATTATTATTGTGTTATTCGAATCCCTAAGTTTAAACTGTAATATCTAATAACTATTTTTACTCTATGTAAATATTTATAATTGTATGTTTAGATATAATACAGATACTATTATTTTTCTATCTATAGCTATGAATTGAAATGTCTAATATTATAAGAACAAATAATAATAAAATAGGACAGGGGTAGTGTTAACCATAATTTCTAGTCATCAATTGGTGCGGCGATCTAGCATCATTTGCCGTTGTTAACCCCAAATTAGTAACCACCTGGGTTCTTGATAAGGAAGCCGTGTCTACTGTCTATATCAGCGGTTCCCAAACTTTTTCAACCTCGGAGCCTTTTTTTTAAGGAGAAGTTTCTCGTGGAGCCCCAAGAAATATTTAACGTTCATATATATATTCGTTTTAAATAATTTAAACAATTTTAAAATTATTACATTTTTGTGTAATAATGAACGGAGCCCTTGAGAAACCATTGCGGAGCCCCAAGGGCTCCGCGGAGCACAGTTTGGGAACCGCTGGTCTATATACAAGAACATAATATTATCTTCTACAAATATACAATACGATAATAAAAAAAATCCCACTACTAATGACTATAGTTGATTTAGCTATAATATACGTATATAAAAAAAAATAATAATAAAATTAATCATCTTCTCGACTAAATTGAGTAAATCACTTATAAGTATTATACAATATGATAGAAACTTATGTTATGCTTGTGCCTTGTATAATAAAATCTATTATTTATAATCATATTTAAACCTGTCTAGTGTCTACCTAACACTGAGGGACCTATCGCGTCTATCTCATTGGAGTCGGAAACCGATGCTGAATCTCGAGCATTTAAACCACTTTAGTGTAGTAACGAATACTGCATTAAACGTTGTTTAATCTATGCAATCTTTACAATTCATGTGTTATGAAAGCTTAAATCGCATACCTATTATTGTCGTTTATAGTGTTTCATCTACATTAATTAAATATACCTCATACATATATACTTATATATTATGATATCACTCCAAATTTATGCAAAAAACTAAATGGTAGGTATGCCATTTTTTTATACACAAAGTATTTTATACACTATCGAGATAGTACTGATGAAGTCGTGGAGGTGTCTGAGTTAAGACACCAAAAACAAAAAAACACGTACCTATTTCATACAGATGAATAATGCGATTTATTGAATAAAAAAAAAAAAAATGCAGTAATATGACAATAGTTAATAGGGCTAACCGACAGTAGAACACAATGCGTGTACCTACCCATTTTCCGAACCGAAATTGGAGACAAACGGCTCACGTGCGGCTCGCAAATTCGCGTTCTACGCAATCAGAAACCGCGCGGACACAAACAAAGCAAAACAAATTCACATTCAATGAAAAACCGTAAAAAAAGTCAGACCGGAGCCCGCCTCTGTTACCTCTACGGCTACGGCCGAGAACCGAACTTGCAAAAAAACCGCACGGGACGAAAAAGACATGCTTTACGCGATAAATTTGAGAACGCGACGAAAAATCATCTCGAAAGGCCTGAAAAGCGGAAAAACGAGACTCGTAACGGTAGTCGGCGGTACGACGTATAAATAAAAAAAAAATTTAATTTTCTGATTGGCAGTACACTATATCCATCGGGGAAAAAAACGAACTAGGTATTCTTCGCTTTATATTCTAAGAAAAAGACAAGAACCGGTGAAATTCCGCTGTAAGTGAATATTTCTAGGTGGGAGACAGCAATTAAAAAAAAACCGTAATTAGAAAGTGAATACCCTATAGGTCGGAGACAAGATTTTAGAATACCGCATTTAGAAAAGTCTAGTAGGCAAAACCGATGATAACGACATTTGTAACGTTAAAACCTTTGATTTGACGGCTCTACACTTTGGCGGTGTCGTTTTGAACGCATAAACAATAAAAGTCTATAAAATTCGAATTTGAACGTTTAGTGGGCGGTTATTACAATAAATTCACAGGTGTAATACACCTTGTCCCGTAGCTTGCTCGGTGCATTTGTGTATAGGAAATAAATAAATACATTCTGAAAATGGTAATTTAGTGTCTAGCTATCAATCATCACCCGGTGTATGTTGATTGTTGATACTTGGCTGGGCAATCCGCTTACGGTGTATTGTTATACCTCCTGATGTTGAAAGCATTGTGCCATTCTGCATATAAAAAAGTTAAAGTCGAATTGAGTGTTTGATTTTCAAGCGATCACCATTGAAAATCCTGTTAAACACATTTAAATTTTTAATTTCCCAAGTAGGTGATCCAACGCAGTCGAATCGCGGACAATGTGGACGTAAAGGGGAGATTTTAAATGTATTATAGAAAATAAGTTAGCAAGTCGTGGTAAATAGTTAAAAATTAAAAAATATATATATTTAAAATCTTTTTGATATTTTATAGATAATTAGATACCTATCGAAAAGAAATATGCACTTACTGTGATAACAAAAATTACAATTAATTAACAATCATATTTAAATTGATCGAATTAAATGAAAACAATGCAAAATATTCGATGGTAACCTAATGTTTGTTCATTGTATCACTCGGATTTCGCCGGAGCGGGATTATTATATGTGTGTGTGTGTATAAATTGTATTTAACACGACATTCACATAATGAATAAATATAATTATTATATATTCATAAATGCTTATTAGTTAATTACAATTTATACTCATTTACTAAGATTAAACACTTATATATTTTATAATAATTATAATGTATAATTTAAAAACATATTTATTAAATAACTAAAATTGTTATACTTAAACTAAAACTAATACCATTAATTGTATAATATAATAATATTATAAATGTGAAACATTGATATTAAAGCTATTAATAATATGTTTATAATTATTACATTCACAGACTATTTGGTTAATTTTTTTTTAATACTTTCTAAAATTAAATTAATATGTGAAAATGAATTATGAATGATCCAATTGCTTATAGTAAATGAGTGAACTATAAAATAATTAAGTACAAATTATAATAATAAAAATTATTTATATAATTAGTAGAAATATATGTTATTATTTATTTTTAGTATGCTGTATTCCGCTTTTATAATAATATAGTATTTATATTAAACAGTTTATATGCATAAAGTCTAATTTGTTTGTAAAACTAATATATATTTCTATCGTGATATAATAACATACCTACTGTAAGTATTAATATGATATTTTTTTCCAGAATTGATCCAATGTTATACTTGTCCTACTATATCATGCAACCGTGTATATAAATTGAAAGCGAGCTTAAATAATCATTTAAAATTTGAGTGTGGAGGACAAAGACGATTTCAGTGTCACATATGTTATAAAAAATTTTCTCAAAAAGTTACTTTGAAAAATCATTTAGCTATAATACATAAAGTTATTGGAAAAAATTGAGTTTAATAAAATATATCTTATGTTAAGAAATAAAAATATTTTCATGTGTCTGATATTACTATTATATTTTAATCTTATTTTATATAGTATCGTGTAAATACTAAATTGTATTAACTAGAATATCTGATACCTATTTTAAGAATTGTATTACTGTTTAGATAAAGAAAAGCATCATAGAATACTACGAAACAACATCTACTTACTTGAGAATACAAACAAATAATTTGATTTTATTAAATTAATATGAAATTATTTTTTTTTACAAATACAGTATAAACAAAATATGAGACGATGTTTTATCTCATTATGGCACATACCTATCTCGCCATTCATATTTTTAAGTAATCTTTATATATTAAGTTATCGTGGTTGGTTTTTAATTAACAATTTGTTTATTTCTGATATAGTTGGTATTAATTAAACATAAGAATCAATTATATTGTCATTATGCCTAATTTATATTTATTTCCAATGTCTTGGACTACTGTTAAATGTGTTAATGTTAACAATTGCATATGCACATAATATAAGAATAAATAATAAAATAATTTGTTTCTTTCACTACACATACATGTATCCATTTATAATTAAATTTTTTTTTAATTTTAGATTTCTGTGTGTATATTTATATTTTATTTTACATAACATAAAAATTATGAATGGAAGATCATTTTATATTATACCAGCTTTTTATTTATAACTACCTAATATTATAATATTTAAGTAAACAAATAAACATATTTTTATTAATTCCAATAATTTTTTTTAGGATTTAAATCAAAAAATACTGGAATTTACACATGCCCAAATAAATTATGTAACAAAATCTACAAGTCCAAAGGTAGTTACTTCAATCATGTGAATTATGAATGTGGTGGTCGCAAGCAATTTGAATGTTGGTTGTGCAATAAGAAGTTTAGTCAAAAAGGCAGTTTAAAAAGTCATCTTGGTATCATTCATAGTTATTTGTGTGATACAATATGATTGATAATTATAAATTCTATCATATTTTTATAATATCCATCTATACTAATTTACAAAGCTATAAGTGCATTTTTTGTGTAAAATAAACTCAATAACTATCGGTTTAATTTTGATTTAATTTTTTTTTTTTTTGTGTGTTCCTTATGATCACGCAAATGTCAAAGGCATAAATTTAGTCCAATAATGTTAGTAAATAATTAGTTATTAGTAATTGAAATAAACGTATAAATTCCATACCTATATGAGGCGTGGTGTCATAGATTTCCAACTACTTGCAATTTGATCTTTTTGTCCGTCAAATTATGTGTTTAACATCCCGTATAGATATCAGTTGTTCTGAAAAATTTATTGATTATGTATTTATGTAAACGGAAAAATATAAATCTGTGTTACGCAGTGTTTTCTAAAACTACTTATCTGATTATTTTGGTATTTTTTTTTTTTTTAAAGAATGAGTACATCGCAGTGCAGATTTCAAGCATATTTCTAATTTTATAAATTAATTTTTTAAGTAATCAGGAAATACGCACATAAAGGTATATTTATTTTCATCTATATTACCATTTATTAGTTATTATTATAAATTAGTACTTTAGTGAATAGTTGGTATAATATAACAGAACAAAAGTTTTCGTTGTTTTTGGTTTATAATATAGGAACTTTATGAGTTGTTGGTTTTTGGCCCAGAATGAAAAGGAAATCAAATTAGAGATGTTCAATAAAAAAGAAAAAGAAAAATAATTTAAAAAAATAAATAAAATAAAATATTTTTGTTAAATTATCAAAATAAAGCATAAATATCATCTATAAACTAAATCAGAAAACCAAAAATATTATTTGTCAACATGGGTTATGCTAAATGTTAGCATTTTAACATATTAAGCTACAACATTTAACACAGATGCATTTTGTACGGGCAAAGAAATGCTAGTAGTTTTATATAATCCTAACTACCTAAAAGTACATTAATAACTATAAAACAACTAAACCAATTCATTTTCACCTTAATTTTTCAAATGTATATTATTTTAAATAAATGAATACTATTTTATGTGTGAAATTTGCTTATGTTATATTTTCATTAATATTTTCTATTGTATTTCAATATGTATCATGTTTTCTTGGATAATGTTGCATTTGTTTATAATTTAATAAATTATTGAAAATATCATTGTATTACTCTTTGTAACCTAGTTACTTACAGAATACAATTAATTTTAATATAATCATATTGTCTCTTTTTTTGTTTAATTATTACCTATATTTTTATTCCTAATATTTTTTAATTTGTTTAAAGATTGCTCATATATGTATCAACAATTATTTTACGCCTGTTATTTTTAAAAGGTAACTTATCTTTTATCTCCAGCACGTCATGTACACAGAATAGATATAATTTAAACTTACATTTATATACATACAACAAACCTATGTAGGTAATTCTTCTTTTTTATCATAATATATCAATAATTATAATATTGGCTTTCCAACACCTTATGAACATGGTCAGCACACTATTATTATTCACTTTAGTTTTGTTCTTATGTATAAATTGTTAATCAATTGTTTAATATTTAGGTCTCCTATCTGAATACAGAAGGCAATCAAGTCTATCCATTTCATATAAGTTTACATGTCCAAATTGTTGCCGAGAATATTCACATAAACCCAGATTAGTGCATCATTTAAAACACGAATGTGGTTACAAACGATTTGTTTGTAATATTTGTTATCGAACGTTCGGAAGAAAAGACCACTTGAAAAATCATGTAATATGTGTTCACAAAATGATTGCAAATCCATGAAAAATAATTTAAGTTAGATAATGCAAGATAATTTATAAAATATATTTTTTAATTAACTATTGTAGGTTTTTCCCCAAGTTTGTTTGTTAATCGGGCTAGATTTTACTGTAAATAATTGTATAGATAATATTATGTCTATATTTTATTTTGTTTGGTTTTTTAAACAGGAATTATATTCACTAATTTAAAAATGCCAATATTTTTTACATAACTGAAAAATTTTTAGCAATGTGAACTTATTTAAAAAAAATAATTTTGAGCTATAAACTAAAGTTTGTATGTATTAAAATATTTGTTATATTATCAACACATATAATAATAATGTATTCAATTATTAAGTTTTTCGAACATATATTGTAATATGTATATTATTTATAAAATATGTTATTCAAATGTAAATTAAAATAGTTTAATTGCAAAAATATGTCATTAAAGATTATTTTTTAGGTATAGAGAGATCACAAAATTAAAAGCTCTTTTGGCAGACATGTTGAATTTGATTGTGATATAGAACCACATTTGAGTATTATAACTGTGATAAACATTATGGTTATTAAAATATATTAACATTTATAATTATTAAATTAATCTAAATTTATGTTTAATATTTAAATAACACCCATAGCATCTTTTGTTAATTTAATAATAAGTATTGTATTCATTTGTTAAATATTGTGATCAATACATTTTTATTTACAACAAATGATAATTTTAATTGAAATTTTTATCACATTTATATATATATATATATTTTAATTAAAAAATATAGAATATTATATTTATGTGCTTTCTTTCCTTTGGCTCATATTTATTATCATCGTTTTGTATTTAAATGTCTGTGATTATTCGCAAATCTGATTTGTATTTTATTGCTTACAGTTAAACTTTACTTATAAATTTAAGATAGGTGGTTATTGATTACTAGTTTTATTGTATTTTTTTTAGATGAACTATTTTCATCATTCCTTATGTTAATCACACTACAAAATGTCATCTAGATTTATATTTTTTAATTAAAATTTAATGTGTATTTCATGTTTGAAACTTGGTTAAATTAATTTGTGTAAACTTAATATCTTCAGTGTGTCTAAAAGAATTAGATACTGTATGAAATAATTTTATGTTATTTTTGTGGTCTATTTTTTATGTAATTTCAAACTATTTAGACCAGGGTATGCTATATGATCTTAATTAAGTTTTTAAATTAAGAAGATTAAATTGATTTCATGAAAAGATCTATATGTTCAATTATAGTAATTCGGAAAAAATATATTATTTCATTTTGTATTATTCAAATAAATGTGAGTTCTAAAAGAACATTGTACCTATCATAAACGTGTTGTGTCTCCAATTTACAAATGTACAACATAGAAAATATAAAATTTGCTTTCAACAGAACCAACTTTATGTTATTAACTAAAGTGAATTAACCTATTTTTAATCTTAAAAGTAAGAACATTATCTCTGTTTGCACATTAATTTTTTATTTCATTCCAATTTTTAATAAAGTTATTTGAGTGTTAAATATTAAAATTTGATTCATAACTTGCTAAAGAATAAAAAAAACCTTTGTACAATCATAAATAATGTTCTTAATTTCAAATATGATTATAAGTTCATTTATCCTAATATTAAAGCTTTACAATATAAAATTAACTTTGCTTTATGTTTGTAAAATGTAAGATACCTATGTCGTAAATGCAAAATCTTTTTAAAATGGAATTAAAATCATGAATAGCATAAGTTCTGCGTATACCCTGGACTAAATTTGGTTATGATTGATAAAACATTATATAATGAAATTTCAAGTTTAGTTATTAATAAAATCTTATATAACTCAGCATGAAAGAATAAAAATTTTGACAAATTTTATTATTTTTTCAGATTCAGACACTAAACAATTGAGATTTTTTTGTCCTAATAATTGTGGAAAATCATACAAAATAAAAAGATCAGTTGGGAGACATCTTAAATTTAAATGTGGAGTAGAACCAACATTTGAATGTTGGATTTGCCACAAAAAATTCGCATTAAAAGAATCAATGAAAAAACATATGATTCAAAAACATAAATAAGGCTCATTTATCATTACATTTATTTGAACTGTTGTTTAATAGTAGGTACCTGTTTACAACGGCAAATTATTAAAACAATAAGAACCTTCAACATAATAATTAAATTTATGGGACTGTATTTATAAACAATTAAAAATACTAAATAAAGTAATAAAATTAAATCTATCATTAAGATGTCCTTATTTTTTTAAAATATTTTGCAGTAAAAATTCAATAAAATATTAATATACATTTATTTACACTAATTTCGATTAAGATATTTGATTTTTTTGTCCTTAGTTATATTCGCAATGTCAATAATGTCATTTGTAATGAACAATAATAAATATAAGAAACTTGCCAAATATATTTGTATTTAACCTCCATATACATTAATTTATAAAATTTTAATCTACCATATTTACTTATGGCCTGTGCCGCAGGGGTCGTCAATAGGCAGCTTGTGAACCAAATTTGGCCGCAGAGTAAAAATAAATGGACCGCCAAAAATATAAGTTTCTTATTATGAATTTAGAGATTACGATGACGTTCATCGTTTATCATCAACTATGAACTAATATTTAAATTTTTTCTGACCCTCAAAAATTATTTTTCAAATATTATCTGGACCGTCATAGAATTTAATTGCTGACCCCTGGCCTATCGGCTATGAATTTAAGAATTTATTTCTACTAAATAATTGTTAAGAATTATGAATGATAAAATAATGCATGTCCATTCGATAAAAAACCAAGAACTTTATGAACTTGTTTAATTCTTCGCCTGGCCACTAAACACCTTTTTTAACAGTGTGTTATTTTATTTTTGTTTAAATTTACGTTTTTGAATTCTAGAAAATCAGTAAATTTATCGTTTCACAGAATCAACAAGAACGACATATTTTTGCCCCGAGTTCTGCGGAAAATCGTACAAATATAGACGATCATTAAAAAGAAATTTAATATAATTGGTTTATACCTAACATTACATAATAAATATTTCCAGATAATACAACATCATCTTCAATGGCATTTTTACATTGAATAATAAAATTGATACTTAAATACTATATTTATATTTTTATTAATATTTAAAATAATGAAAATAAAAATCAATATATTGTTATATGAATATAAATACATTATGTTTATATATTTTACCTACTAAAACATAAATAATCATAACAAAATAAGCAGTAAGCACAACAATAATTTTGACTATAGCTACAACCCGTTATTTAGAAAACATGAAATTGACAATTAAAAATATAGACTATTTTTAAACAATGATAATATACAATTTCCTTATATTTGCATTATTTTTGAAAATATTTAAAGTTAATATTCTTATTGGCCCATGCAAATATTTTGTTAAAGCTGTGTAAACTGCGAATATTATAAACCCATACCTACTAAAGTTTCCGCTGTGGCGCTGCTACGATGATACAAACAAGCATCAAGCAGTCTATTATTTTTAAAACCATTTGAACAATGATGCACTGGATCAATACTGAAAAAAAATGAGTAAGAACACTGAACATGACACTGCATATAGCAACGCACTTCATTTTGTTACTACTCACGATACAAAAAACGTCGATGACTTATTAATAAATAATATTTTTGTATTTCATTAATTAATTGACTCATCTTTACACCAAACCCATAAGTTATAAAAAAAATCACCCAAATCGTTTCGAATATAACTGTACAAAAAAAGTCTCAAGTTTTTATAATATAAATATATCGTTATGCTTAATTTTTTAAAAATATTTTATTGCAGGAATTAAATAAAACATTAGTGTAAAAGTATACAAATTATTTTTATTTATTAGTAAAATATTTGATATTTTTTGTTCCTAACTATCTCGGTACCATGTCTTTAAGGCTAACATCTATTTCAAAAGAGAATATTGATACCGATTAGGGGGCGGTCTGCGTTTGGACGAATTACCTTTTTACCCGCATAAAAATAGTAATGTGTTTGGACGAGTTTCTTATAATGTGTTTGAGCGAGACAATATAAAAGATAAAAATGTAAAGAATTAGATAACAATAATTATTATATAAAATCTATAGGGAATTTTAGATCAACCTAAAAATGGCACAGTCTTATATGCAGGTCGGACAACTAGTAGAACTTATCATATTTTCAAATATCAGTCTGCTTGTACATTGAAAACATGAAGTTGTATGTTATAGTGTTAGTGAGTTTATGTCAAATATGGATCTCAAAATTGTTTATATTTTTAATATAAAACGAAATTCAAGTAGAAACTAACATAAAATGCAATATATGCTATAAATAAAAATATCTACAATATTCGACGAAAAGTCATATTAGAAAAACAAGAATATGTAGAAACAAGCTGAAATAAGTATATATCAGGTGAAATTAAGATTTTAGAGTATATACAACGTATGGGAATAAAATTTCCAAGAAAAAAAATTTAAATTTTCATTATATTTTAATATAATTCATAACATCAATTTTTAATCATACCCGTGGAATTCACGGACAGCCGCCCCAAGTCTGTCTAAATGAGAGGGAAAATTGATTGGTAAAATACAGCATCCCAGTAGGTATATTGAAAAAAAAAGTCACCCAAACACATAACAATGTTTTAAAATAACTCGCCCAAACACATGGCAATTTTCAAAAAATGTTGATTGGTGACTATATAGAAGCTAATTGATGAATTCGGACAAGATTGCCCGTTGACGTCGGTTCCGGATTCGGCGTAGGTCGAAGTTCACTATCACTGTAGTTGCAGTCTACATTTGTGAAAAAAATTGTATTCTCTTAGAATAAATTGAAATTTGAAACAGAATATAAGTGACACATTCTATGAATATGTGTT